TATATATAGGACTCTTCAATATTGAGCATCTACGATCCTGCACTGTAAGATTCGAAACTAGAACATGTCGGTCACTTGCGATTGAATAGCTTAACCTCTAGACTACTGAGCCGGTTGTCATCCATTGGTGTTAATGTCTAAATATAACCAATGCGCGAAATTGAGCCACTATCCACCATTATTTTTAGTGATTTACTATCACACAACACACTTAGTTGAACTCTGTTGATCAGTACTTCTCACCAGAACTCTAACAACGATATATTACTAAATATGAATTAAGTGAATAGTACAAAACTAATATAGTTTCATTCGAAATTTATCATCATAAACTAAATTCGATTGGAAAACCATTGAAAACTGGTAATCAATGAAGCGTTGTTACATCAGAATAATCAGTTATTCAGTAATATGAATTCACAATTTCACATAGGAAATATGTCAACATTCTGTTGAGGAAATTTGTTAAGATAAATACTGCATTTTGACTATTCATTTACTGATATTTATAATTCAAAAATTAAATAAACCAGATTCCAGTGGAGGAAGAAATCAGGACGAGAAAAGAAAGATCAACGAACACATGTTCACTGGTCTTCCTCTTCTCGTTTGATCTTGAGGATTCCGTGTGAGGGCTTACCTTGTGACTCAGTTGGGTGCTTTCCTCAATGTGTGTCCTATCCACTTCCAGCGCTTCTTCCTGATTTCTTCATCCCCTGAGATCTGGTTTGTTCTCGTCCACAATAATTTGTTGATGATAGTATCTGGCCAACGGATTCAAAGTATTTTGTATAGACAACTGTTAATAAACACTTGTATGTTCTGATTGATGGCTTTCGTAGTTCTGCAGGTTTCCGCCCCATACAGCAGAACTGTCTTCACGTTTGTAATGAGAATTCTGACTTTAGCGTTGGTTGATGGTTGTTTTGAATTCCAGATGTACTTCAGTTGTAAATATGCTGCTCTTGCTTTGCCGATCCGCGCATTTACATCTACATCAGATCCACCATGTTCATCAATGTTGCTGCCCAAATATACTACATATCGAACTTAACTCACTCGGCTGAACTGATTTTCAATGGACACAATGAATAACAACCACACTGTAATCAGTCCATAGATAATATATATATTTAATAAGTCATTCTAATGTGAAGAAATCATTGAATCCATCTTCAACTCCTTCCTTCCTTCCTTCTTTACTTAATTAGTTACTTACTTCAGATCACTTCACAACTAATTCATTTCATTCAACTTAATGAAAATGGATAATTTTTGTAATGAATCTCCATAATCATAAGTTATCATCATCACCATCATTATGGATTCATTCATTCATTCATTCATTCATTCACTTTTCTTCAATATCAGAAAACACGTTAATTATCACTATGATTAATTGTTGTATTCACATACACATAATATACATGTACCATTAACATGGATAGATGATACATTCTGCAAGTTCACTGAGTTTGTGAGTATATGCGTATGTGTGTGTGAGTGTGTGAGTAGTAAGGAGTTAAACAGTCACATTATCATCAGATGGATAGGTGGGTAGGTAGGTACATAGATGGGTAGATGGGTGGATGGATAGGTTGATGGGTTGATGGATAGAGGAGTATAGAGACACGCGAATTCAAACTGATGATGATGATGATTATGTTACATACACATTCATAATTATTACTTGTAATAATCATAATGTAGATGTACATTGTTGAAGTGATTATCTTTCCATGATTCAAAGTCATTTATTATTATTAATAAATTAGTTAATTACTGGTTCTATATACAAATTACAATCTGTGTATTTCTCTAACATGTTTCCTCTTTTTTCTTTGGTTTTCACACTATGACAATCATTATAATCAGTAAATGGATACTGTTTTTCACTTTTTAGACTTTTGTACAGTCTATTACGTAATCCATTTCATAGTCTATTATATAGTTTCTTTTTGATTGAGATCAAGAATCGATGGTAGTTAGATTATTGTTGAAAACCTGAAAGTATTGAAATGGCTGTTTCGTCCTATCATGAGTCTCGTCAATAGTGTGCATTCATGATCCTATTTGCAGGATTCGATGCCAGTATCTATTGGCCTGGCACGCGTGCAAACGATCAACCTCTAGACCACTGAGTCAGTCGGCATCCAACGGTGTTCATGTTTCACTAAATGTTCTTTCCTTTTTTTTATTCTAAATTTTCCTTTTACATAAATCACTTGGCGTCATAAAAGGTTGAACTGTTTTAGCGTTAGTTATCACAACAAACTTATCAAAATTATGAAAGTTTGTGGGTTTCATTCATCACAAACTGATTTGAGCTAAAGGAACCACTGAAAGCCATGAGATAGCAACATAATTATTTTATAATAATGATTAGGTCCTTAGTAGCACATACACACAGGTATTGATTGTAGGACACCGTCGATCTCGGTTCAAATGTTACATTAGTAGAATCAGTGAGTTAATGCTCAACGTTTCAGTGCTTCATGTATTTTAGTGGTACTCTTAATGAGACCATTCAATAACGAATATAAAACAAAGTCTAAATCATTCCCAGTAAAACCGTACAATTGAAATTATGAAGTGATCTTAGCTGGATATTAGGACGAAACGGCCGTCCAGTACTTCCAGGTTTTCCATGGTGGTCTAGCTTCAATTAACTCATGATTTCAACCAATGCGATGTAAAATGGATAGACTATTGATATATTACTTATCAATGTAAAAGTAGTATGAATCTACGTTCATAAAATGACTTTCATCATTCGTAAACAAGCTTTCCAGTTGACTGTTGGATCAGTCAAACATGATTCTAATGAGTTCAACAGTAGAATTTATTTATTATTGTGTTTTTCTGAGATTTTTGATTCGAAAAACTATCTCTGTATTTCGTGTTTACAAGCTTCATATTATATTCTGAAGAGTTACTAATGGAGTTTTGTTCACTGAGCTGAATGATTTGGGTCGTGGAGCTCTCACTGTTCTTCTGAACGATATCATCACCACAAACTTCAGGTCGAAGTGAAGTGTTCGATTTTATCCACATGAAGTTCATAGCTTTTTCTGTAAATCTTGATTGGCTGTTGTTGGTCTTTCACCTGCCATTGTGTACTTCTTCATTTTGATTGTGTCTCACATTGATTTGATTTATTAATCTTATATTTGTCCATCATTTTTCTGAATGGTCGATAGATTGGAACGATTTCCGTGTGTTTGTTGATTGCTAACTGATCTGAGTACCAAGCTTTTAAAAATTCTCTGGGGTTTTTAGAATTCCTTCTATCCAAGATCTCAACATTTTTCCAGTTAAACGTATGTCCATAGTTGTCTACATGCATTAGTATAAGCGAGGAAACGTCATATCATTTGACCACTAGTTAATGGTCATGCAGGTGAAGATGAAAAGGGTGTCCACTTGTCTGCAGTTGTGACAACTTGAAGTAATTTTGATAGAAATTTTACTGGTTTGCGTGTTACACCTATTGTAATTTCTAATATCCCATATTATGGTGGAATTTTGTTCTCTGAGCTGGATGATTTGGTCGCGGAGCTTTCAGCCGACTGGCCCAATGGTCTAGTGATTAAGCGCTCGCACGCGCGAGGTTGACAAGACTCGGGTTTGAATTTCACTGGGTGGGATCGTGGATGCTCACTGTTGAGGAGCTCCATACTCAAACGAAACGGCCGTCCAGTGCCTCCAGGTTTTCCATGGTTGTCTAGCTTCAATTGACTCATGAATTCAACCATTTAAAACAACTATAATTTCAAGAAAACCACTTGTGATATTAATCAACATATGTTCACAAGCGAATGGCTTCACGAGGCATTTCCTAGAGTTCTAGTGAGAAGTTGTGACCAGTGGAGTTCAACTGGGTTTGGTGTGAGATAGTAATTCACTGGTGACAATTAAGGACGGTGGCGCAACTTCATGGATTAGTTTAACTTAGATATTAACACTGTTGGATGCCGACCGGCTCAGTGGTCTAAAGGTTAAGGGTCCGCGCGCGTACGAAACCGATAAACCCTGGGTTGGAATCTCGCGAAGCGGAATCGTGAATGCGTACTACTGAGGAGTCCCATACTAGGACGAAACAGCCATCTATTGCTTCCAAGTTTTCCATGGTGATCTACGTTCAATTAACTCATGAATTCAACTATTAAAATAACTAAAATCTCCGGGAAAACCTCTTTTCTGATTATATTGTATAGGCTACATCTTAATGATTGAATTAACTAATCAAGGTAAAGTGATAAAGTTGGACGATATTCACCAGTTTTTCATTAAATACATGATATAATTCAATATTATTCATTCTTTATTGGGCAGTATTTTATATCATTACTGATATTCATACTAATTATATGAATACTATCATTCGTATTCATTTTGTATAATTTAGGACTGCAATTGATTAGTCTCTTATTAACATATGTGTATCCTCTGCCAATTGCCTCGATACTACTTTAAGTCACAAGCATTCTGAGCAAAGATAGATGGTGTCTAGCAGTGGAATGAACGACAAGGAGCGTTTTATCCTATTCGAGACTCATCAGATGGGTCTACTAGCATCTTAGAGTTGATGTTCACTCTGGAATTCAAACCCAGTACCACCATCACGATGTCCACTTAGCTACTGAGTCCCGATAGTCACTTGCTTGTGCAATGAGATGAAGTTTGAATTTACTTGGTATTGTTTACTTGAATCTTCCCACTGATTAGTCTCTTATTGGTATACGTGCACCCTGTGCTATTGTTTATACTGTGAAATATGATAATAAGCAGAAATATTTATATTTGTGAGGAGCGACAAAGTATTTACATAATAGATATACGTTGTTTTCAGTCATCCATTTATATCTTTCACTGTATCCTACTATCTTGAATTGTCTTCTTATCTAGTCTCCAAGTATTTTGCCAACACCGTACTTTCGATGCACAAATATTGTCATTTCCATGTTATGTTCCACAATGTACTACTTATGAACAATCTAATGATTTGCAACCACTACAATACTACTACTACTACTACTACTACTACTACTACTACTACTACTACTACTACTAAAACTACTACTACTACTACTACTACTACTACTACTACTACTACTACTACTACTACTACTACTACTACTACTACTACTACTACTAAAACTACTACTACTACTACTACTACTACTAAAACTACTACTACTACTACCAATACTACTACTACTACTACCAATACTACTACTACTACTACTACTACTACTAAAACTACTACTACTACTACCAATACTACTACTACTACTACTACCGATACTACTACTACTACTACTACTACTACTACTACTACTACTACTACTACTACTACTACTACTACTACTACTACTACTACTACCAATACTACTACTACTAAAACTACTACTACTACCAATACTACTACTACTACCAATACTACTACTACTACTACTACTACTACCAATACTACTACTACTAAAACTACTACTACTACTACTACTACTACTACTACTACTACTACTACTACCAATACTACTACTACTACTACTACTACTACTACCAATACTAATACTACTACTACCAATACTGATACTACCAATACTAATACTACTCATTTACAAATATCCACACTGATATATTTAATATTCACTAATGAGGCATATGAGTTCTCAGTTAATTATGAAAGATGAATTGGATAGTATCGTTAAATCTATGACTAACTTGCTAATATCTAGTTACTCTCTCTCTCTCTCTCTTTCTCCCTCAGTGTGTGTGTGGGGGGGAGAGGGGTAAGACATGAAGGAAACTGAAATATACTAAAATTCATAGAAATATCCCTCTGAGAAATTCCATCGAGAAGAATTCTCTTCCAATTTTCATATTATCATCATCATCATCATCATCATCATCATCATCATCATCATCATCATCATCATCATCATCATCATCATCATCATCATCATCATCATCATCATCATCATCATCATCATCATCATCATCATCATCATCATCATCATCATCATCATCATCATCATCATCATCATCATCATCATCATCATCATCATCATCATCATCATCAGCAGCAGCAGCAGCAGCAGCAGCATCATCATCATCATCATCAGCAGTAGCAGCATGATTAATTGATACACACAAACAAATTCCCCTTCTAAAAGAAAAATAAAGAAGAAGGATATCAAAATTCATTAAAAAAAAAGAGTGTAAAACAGTTTGTATTTATCTTTGGGCAATAAATTTAATCATATTGCGTTTAATATAGATTAATGAAGGAACGTTCAATTCCAATATCTCTGTGTTCTTCTTCTCTTTCTTCTACTTCTCTCTCTCTCTCTCTCAAACTGTTTGTGTGTGTGTGTGACTGAGTGTTAGAAGATGGAATTGTACCAAATGAATATTGGAGTATGGTTATATGGACAAACAGATGATTGATGATTATGAATACATTGGATGAAATGACTAATAGTCTCACTGAAACTGTCATAAGTTCGTTACTGTTTTTTATGTGTTATGTGAAGTGGTAAAGCAGTTGAGACGATAATGACTGTTGTCATCCGATGTGAACATACGTTCAACCGACGATTGATAAGTAAATTCTATGCATTCTGTTACTTCGGAATTCTCACAGAGTTGAACATGTTGATGAGGATGATGATGAAATGTGTGTAGAGTGTGAGTTTATTGTCGAATGAGGAGAGATGATTGGATGGAGTGTCGATGGTTGTTGGAATTGCACGAGTAGTTATGTAAGACAGTGTCGAGCCAGTGAAGTGTCACTGAGCTCTAGTCAAATCATCCGGCAGATGGATCACTGAATATCGATCAAATCATTGATCCTCGTCAAGGTGAAGGACAACCAACGCGCATCAGCTAGTCGTACACCATGCACTGGCCCATGAGGCGGCGGTGGTCCTACCTTCGCTTTTATCGACCTGAACTAATATATTTCTGTAATGACGTCCCCTGTGTTGTACGGTCTTCAAAGCAACCACAGTACGTTGATATGTTGGAGGGGTAATCCACGTTAGGTGCTGACCGAGAGTTGTGACTTCGATGTTAGCTGGTTCGTCACACCATTCCTGTCTAACTCGAGTAATCCTCCAATCATTCGATATAGATCATCTACGCTGGTGATTTACAACAGAATTAGCTGTTAAGTGTGAACAGGTTACAAATTGTTAAATCTATCATGAATTGTAATGAGAGAATGAATGGTGAATATTACATAATCAATGAAATCATTTTGACAATATTCATAATGAAAATAGTTATGATTATTGAATTTGTATTACAGATTGCGGTTGTAAACAATGAATGTAGTACTTCCCTATGGAAATCGATGTTGAGAATCCTTCAGTTTTGTAAACGACTGGTGGATACGATGAATATGAACTAGTGAAGAATGAAAGATGAATATTGAACTGTGTTGGTTGTTTGATGACAAACCAGCCATTCTACTTTCCAATATGCAAATGTCGTTTACAATGGAATATTCACATCCAATGTACAATTCCACAATTCCACTGTGAAGTGAACTTGTTATTCATTGTCAACTCAGTGTGTGTACTGAACAAAATGTGTTCGAACAGTCTGACTATAACAGTGTGATAACACTTGAATAATAACGAAGTAGTTTGTTATTAGGAGAATGGTATTTTAATAATGATCAGATCGGACATTGTAATTCAATGAAACTGTTTACACAGAATTACCAACTGTGTATGGACAGTGTGCGGTGCGAGATGATGTGTGGAATTTGATCAGTAGTCAATTAATAATGAACTAAGCCATACCACTTAGTGACAACTTAGTGATGTGGTGTTCATCAGGAGGAGGATGAAACATGAATGGAGATGTAGGAATTATCATGTTTGATTGTTGGATGTCATGGTGTTTCAATGGAATTTGTAGTAATGCATTTAACTGAATGTAAAAACTTATTGAAGTTGTTACTGCGTCATCTCGATACATTGAAGGAGATATTCTTGGATGATACGACAATATTTATTCATCACCATCTTGCACGCGATACTCGAAATGAGGACATTTGTTCTCACAAAAATGCTTAATCTGTAGACCAACGTAGACAAAGACAGATGATTGGCCAATATTGTGGATTGTTTTAATTCAGAAGTGAAGTGTTTACACACAATTGAATGTCTTGGGCTTGAGTCCCGCATCGGTAACCGTGGATGAGTAATGCTGATGTATCATATATTTGAACGTAACAGCCGTCTAGTGTTTCGAGATTCTCAATCGTGGTCTATTGTTGATTGGTTCATGATCTCAATGAAAACTGATTACTTTCCACAACCCTTTATTAATGATTGATTAATAATAATAATAAATGACTTTGAATCATGGAAAGATAATCACTTCAACAATGTACATCCACATTATGATTATTACAAGTAATAATTATCAATGTGTATGTAACGTAATCATCATCAGTTTGAATTCGCGTGTCTCTATACTCCTCTATCCATCCACCCATCTACCCATTCGTCTACCTACCTACCTACCTACATACCTACCTACCTACCTACCAATCCATCTGATAATGTGAGTATGTAACTCCTTACTACTCACACACTCGCACAGTCACATATTCACACACACATATACACTGACAAACTGAGTGAACATATTTTGAGTTATGTGGAACTTGCAGAATGTATCATCTATCCATGTTAATGATACATGTATATTATGTGTATGTGAATACAACAATTAATCATAGTGATAATTAACGTGTTTTATGATATTGAAGATAAGTAGGGTTGATGAAATAATTGAAATCACTTAATAAGTATATAGTAATAGGAGAATAACATTATATATTTCTCCTCATGAAACGTATCAATGAGAGAGGGGTTTTGTGAAGATGATAGTAATTTAATAGTTGAGATCATGAGTTTATTGAAGTTAGACCACCATAGAATCCTCGAAGCACTAAACGGCCGTTTCATCCTAGTGTGAGTCTCCAAGAATCCACCTCGTGTGATTCGAACTCAGGACCTACCGGTCTCGGTTTAGACCACTGAATCGGTCAACAGTCAACGGTGTTAATGTATAACTTCAACCACTCCAATCTTCAGTGAGTTACCATCTCATAACAGACCAAGTTGAACTCCATTGGTCTTGACCGATTGGTTGTGTGTTGGAATCTCACAGGGTGGTATCGTGGACGTGTACTATTGAAGAGTGCCATACTGGGATGAAACCGCCATTCAGTACATCCAGATTGTCATTAGTGGTCTAACTTACATTGATTCATGAATTCAACTGTTACATAATATATCACAATGACTAACATCATCATCATCACCATCATCTATCCATTCATTATTCATCCATCTCCTTACTATTAATGATAACCATGAAATCATTTATTATTATTATTATTGAATGGATAATTTAAGTAAATTCTATTAAACAAAGTCATTTAAATGAAAGTGATTCAATGAAAGAAAAGTTGAATTTATCTCAACTTGTTTCTTTGTATATATGATGATGTGTGTATATGCAACTAGGGAGATCCATATGTATGTGTACGTGTGTGTAGGTGTGTGTGTATGACAGCAACGAGCGAGCGAGCGAGCGAGTGAGCGAGGTGGCGAGTCAGCGACCAACTCTGTACGTATGGGGATTAAAAGTTCAATTATCTACTCATCAAATATTCAATTTTAAAAAGGATTTCATGGTGGTGGTGGTGGTGGTGGTGATGATGAAGATGATGATGATGATGATGATGATGATAATTACCATAACATTATTAATAATAATAATAATAATATAAATAGGGAGAATAGGGCGAATCAGGGGGATTAGGGAGAATAGGGAGAATAATAACAAACATTGAAAGTTGAATATATTTTCGAAATGATTTTTAATTTAATTTCTGCATCAATAAACTAACTTAATCATCAAGTGATTCTCTCCTTCTCTCCCTCTCTCTCTCTCTCTCTTTTCTTCTTCTTCTTCCACGCAGTTGTCTTCATCTGCTGATTTGATGACAATCACCTTGTGTCCTTCGTTTTCATTCATGATGTGTATATAAATACATGTGAGATTACAGAGTAACCTGTTTGATATTTTACAATGAATGGTAATATACTACTCAATTGATCATCATATGGAAAGTGAAGCAAAGTGATTGGGAGTGAGAAAGTAATAAGAGTTGATAAGTGATTGAGTAATTTCAAACTGAATGAATATGTGTAATCGAGTGTTGGAGTAGTGATTGAGCATGAGAATGAATGTACATTTATATATATATAGAATTGATTAATAGTTGAGAGATGGGAAAGTGTAGGATTAACGAATTATCCATGAGTTTAATGATTATTGCTGTCGGTGTTTTCCATGTTGTTGTTGTTATGGTGTTTGGAAATAAATTAGTTCCCATTGTATCCAGTAGAAACACACTAATTTGATTCATTTTGATTGATGCATCAATGATTTTACCATACCAACAATGTGAATGTATTCGAATGTGGGTGTGGATGTCTGCAAGTGTATTATGGATTGGGTCATGTTTATAGTAATCATGATAATAATGATACTTCTAGTTCTATAAACTATGAACATAAAGTCATTATTTGTAGAATCACTGAATAATGTCCACGAGTGAAGGTCGACTGACCATTGAATAGTGATCGATGTGACACTTGTCTTGTCTTTGGTCTATTATGAGTGCTATGGATCAAGTGAATATATGGTCACTAGTTCAAGTGATTTATCGTTGTGTATTCCGATGTGTATTTCAATGGTAGGTTGTTGAAGTTGATCGAGAGGATATACTGTACTACTGAACATAGGTTTCTAAGTCGTTTGTTGTTCGTCATTATCCTTGAACGAGATGGTACTTCTTGTAGCATTCTAACCCATAACATCTAGTTTCATACTATAATGTGTGACTATAGTCCGAATATCAAAGTGATCGATATATTGTACTGCCAACGATGCTAATGAAGAGTGAGCGTTGAAAATCTTATTCAAATGGACAGATTGAAAAGGTGTGCATGATGGAATACCAGAATTCAAGATGTGGTGTACGAGGAGAATAGATAATGAATTCATCTGTGCTACTGTATCCCATTCTGATCCATGTCACCAAAA